TAGCAAAGAAAAACTCAATCAGAACCTAAACTGGTGAGCTGAACACAACAAAACCCTGCAACATGAACATGGAGACGAGGTGGGATAGCAGACGCTCGGACAACACACACAGACTAAAAGCACACAGGAAGTGGAAACACATGGGGGAAAAACAGCTGACACAAATGGACATAATGACATCACAGTAGAAGAGTAAAAGTAAACACAATGAACACAGGAACACGTGACCTCTTCAAAATAAAGCAGGAAACACAATGAGACAGACAAACAAAGAACTATAATGACAACTGGCGTGATAGAAGGAACTTAGAAAACCTAAAGGACTTAAACATAAACTCAAAATCGTGACACAAGGTCGGAGAAGTGGTTTGAGTTTTCACAGTAAAAACCTGAACCAAAGTTGTTCTAGTTCAAACTCAAACTCCAGCCCACACTGTGCACTCACAGAATGAACTGAAATCAAATATAAACACACAGGAAGTACATTTGTTTAGTTTCTGTTGTTTGTAGAGACAAACTAAACTAAAGTGGACTGAAACAAACTAAATGAAATCAGACTAAAAGCTAAAAACTCACTGATGGACTCAGTGCATCATAACTGTGTGAGCAGATTCTGCATCAACTACCAACGTCACGCAACGGTTGTGTTATCAAAGTTAATAAATAACAAAGTCGTCCACAATCGGAGCCATAAAGTGTTCCCGAACCAGATTATTGCAGCGGCTTCATGAAGCTGACGTCGTGCAGCAACGAACCAGAAGACGAACGATTAAACGTCCACTGAACTGAAACCTGCTCATTAACAGACAGAATTTAGTGAAACTGTCCTTATTGATATACTTCAAGGTGGCGAAACTCATCATTAAGAGTATGGGCGAGGAAAATCTTCGCTTTATGGGGGAAAAGTTGATTCCTTAAAACTTTACAAGGTTAAATGGACTCGACTGCTACTCAGATGGATCCACTTTCAGGTTTCTGATCTCACCTGGACCCACATCATCACCACCCTGGTTGCACTTCCTCCGTGTGCTGAGTGACAACAACCTGCACAGAGGGTAACTAACACCACCCAGAACATCCGTGTCTGCCCTCTGTCCCCCCTGGAACATAATACATACATGATCCTTTTGCTGTGTCCCTTCTCTGGTATTCATGCTCGATGTCCTGCTGTTTCTATTCCTGCACAGCTGCTTTTGTTGCACATGCACAACGACAATCAAAGACTTTTCTGCTCTGTTCTGTTACACTGATCAACACATCACCTCATCCTGCTGCACATACTTGGACCTACAGATGGAGGAGCTGAAGCTCGAGGCGCTAAACAGCAAAAACAAACAACAACAAGAATCCAGCTGTGTTTAATGACGCGGAGAAAAACCGCTGCAACAGCAGGAACAGATAAAGCTTCAGCAAACTACGAGGGAAACAAAGACAGAGAGCAGCTCTGTTACAGCCATGTTTCCTGTTCTGAGCTCGCCTGCTCGTATTTCCACTCTGTGCTGCAGCGAGCAGACGGGATGCACGGCTATGCTGACATCAGTGTCGGCAGCACAATTACAAGTTAATCGATTTAACACGACTGTCAGCTACTGCAGGACCTTCTGTTCCTCTGCACATCTCACAGCGTCACACGGCCTGATGATGATGTCATCAGTGAGTCTGCTCAGGAAACATCGAAACTGAAGCTTCTGTGAAACACCTGAAGCTGGAGCCACTTCAGCAGACTCCATCATTGCAAACGAGTAGCAGCACTGTACAGAGATCCAGTGTGCAGTGATTTGTCCAACATTGCAATTATGGGAACTATGCTGTTTGCAACAACAGCCCATGGAAGCGTCTATATGAGAAGGGGCCAGTACCAGGGGCCCCTACTGGAGGCCTTCAGCCACCTGTGACCCTTAAATAGAAAAGTGGAACAGAACGGCCCCTCGTGGAGAGGAACTCTCCATCTGAATTAACATTTTTACATTTAAATACAATTTTCAGAAAGTTAACATGAACTTTTTAAACGAACTGGTAAAGCTTCACTGTTCACTGACATCTTTACAATATTCAAGCGAGTGTTTTCTGCTCCTGCCACCTCGTCTGCTTTGGAAAATGTCAGGGACCGTGTGCTAATGTGAGCAATATCTCCTAGCAACGAGGACCCTGTTTCTATAACCGTACAGGTGAATTTATACCTGACAGATGGTCACACACACACACACACACACACACACAGGTTTACAACTGAGTTTAATCAGAGACCAGCAGGAACTGGAGATTTTATGTGTTAGAAATAAAAAAGATGCTTTTGCATCACTTTGTTTTGCACATTTAATGTCTTTAAATTTGCCCCTCAGTCATGCGTGAGTGAAATAAAGGATTAAGTTCATGTCTTACAGTGTTGCAGCTTTTCTGTTGGTTTTGGAAGTTCCTCGGTTTTTCTCTCAGTCTTATAAGTAAAACGTCTGTCTGACAATACAAACTATATATATATATAAACACCATCAAATACCAACAATTGAGTGTTCTCATCCAGTAGCAGCGATGAAAAAAGTCTGTGTTTAGCGTGCGCCTTCATCGCTGATGCTATCTGTCATATGACCTCTCCCTGTGCGCTGAACACGCACATGCACGCACATGCACGCACATGCACGCACGC